AGAGATAGAGATGGAGGGTAGAGGGTTGCCCACTCTCTAAGAAGCATAGAAAGCTTCCTTGCTACTCTTGCTAGAGTGGATTGGAGAACCATACCACCAGAGTAAACGTGGGACTTCCCAGGCTTAGTCTTTCTGGTGAATAGGATCAGGTGAGTGGCTAGTAGCACCACGTGATGGAAGAAAGACTAGAAAGAAGTATCCACTGCTTCAGAAACCTCCAGGTGAAAAACAGCAAGAAGAAACCATTTCTGCCCTGAGATTAGTTAATATAATTAGAGTGTCATGAGTCAAATAGTGAGCAAGAGGTTGGTTGCTTACTCCTACCCACGAATATGGACAAGATTTGTCTAGATCTTTTTCATTGATATTAATTGGGAGAAATTTTACCCACTTTAAAAATGGCAATAGTTTCAATTTCTGAAGAATAGCACCATTATATCTGAAAAATTCTCTTGAAAGTCTCATTCCCGACAGAGATTGGTTGGCAAAATCTTTCAACAGTACTGGAATCTAAAATCTTCCCTAAGAAAGAGATGAAAAAAAAAAGTCACACTCCTCACAGCCAGTAGACATTCTGTTCATCTATCTGAGAAGGAAAGAAGGACCTTCATCTGGGAAAATCAGGTTATAGCCACTTGAACAGAAGAGGAAACAAGGAAGAGAGTTATGACCCTGTACTAGAATGAATCACATCTGTCTGAGTGGATTTCACATTCCATCCAATAGAGGGTAGTAATGACACATTAAAAACCCAAAATAAAAACAAAATCCTTAATCTTCCAGAAAAGAAGGGAAATTTTTCTTTCCCACTTCAAAAAAAAATGAGAAACCCACTCTTGAGGAAATATGGCAAGGACCTATTTAAGTATTGTTGGATAGAGTCATGACATTAGCCACTAAGCCTGATGTTATTTAAATATGTATTATTGATGGTGGATTCTTATTGTTGGTTGAGGAGGGGTATTTAATAACAACAAAAAGTTCAGGAATCCTCTAGGATTTCTTCTGCCTGAGATTTGGAAATGGGAGTTGAACTAGATGCTGCTAAAGTCTCTTCCAGCTCAAGATCTAAGACTCTATCACTATATTCTTAAAAGGCCCCCAAAAGAGAACTTTATAATTTCTTTAGACTCTATACTTCAGTTTCATTGTTGTAGTTCAGTCGTTTCAGTCCTGTCCAATTCTTTGTGACCACATTTGTTGTTTTCTTGGCAAAGTTATTGGAGTGGTTTGTCATTTTCTTCTCCAGCTCTTTTTACAGTGCGGAAACTGAGGCCAACAGGGTCAAGTGACTTGCCCAGGGTCACACAGCTAGTAAGTGTTTGAGGCCAGATTTGAACTCAGGAAGATATCTCTTCCTGACGTCAGGCCCTGCACTCTCTATCACACCTACCTGTCCTTTATACTTCAAAGGGAGCCCAATATAGTGACCTACCCCATTTATAGTTTAAGAAATAGCAATATAGAAAAGAGCTACACAGTGGATGGTAGAACTGGAATTAGAATCCAGAGCAACCTAAGGCTCTTTCCCTACTTGATAAACCTTAAGCAAATTACATTTCACATCCTGATACCCTCCCCAACTAATAAGTGAATTGGATTGACTTGTATTTCAGGTGTAGCTATTTTCTGAAATAAAGGCCCTAGCAAAAGAGGTTTCCTTACCTTTTAGATAATGAGGATGGGAAGGTAATAAGTATTTATATGGCACCTGCTCTGTGCCAGGCACCGAGGTAGGTAGTTTACAGTTACATTTCATTTGATCCTCATAAACACCCCATAAGATAGGTCCTTTTATTATCCCCATTTTACCTTTGAAGAAACTGAGACAGAGGCTAAATAACTTGTCTAGAGTCACACAACTAGTAAGTGTCTGAGGCTGCATTTGCACTCAGGTCTTCCTAACTTCAGGTCCAGCCCTCTATCCACCGCACTATCTAGCTGCCTGGCATAATAACAATACAGAAACAATAAATTATCAGTGCATATTGTTTTCAAGGAAATACTCAAGATCCTTTATTAAAGAGTCAGGTATTAAATTATAGTTCACTTTTCTTCTTGGCTCTAGCTACCCAGATACACCATTTTCTGGAGAGAGACAGAGGGAGAGAAAAAAAAAAAGGAAGGGGAGGAGGAGGAAAGAGAGAAAGAAAAACAGAAAGAGAGACAGAGAGAGAGAGAGACAGAGAAGAAAAATCCCCAAGGGCTCACATTTCCATTGTGTCATGACTGCCACCCGTAAGATAGACAACCTCCATTAAATCAATAGCTAAATCAATGGAGTGTGTCATAGTCACTCTGGCTAGCAGAATTTATATAACTCCTTTCCTTCAGGTAGCTCAAACAGCTTGGTATAGATTTTCTTATTTATGTTCACAACATCCCTATGAGGTGGGAAGGAGAAGATATCCTTCCTGTTTTGAAGAACAGGGAAAGGAGACTTAGAGACCAGGATGGCTTTACCAAGATAATATTAGGTAGTTGTATACCTGGATATGACACACAGAGAATTTCAAGGGAAAAATTTCTACCATGGAGCACATAGAATTACAAACCACATGGGAATTAGGAAATACCACTGACTAGTAGCTCTTGCCACATAGGCAGCCAGAGCATAAAGGTTTCTTTATTTCGTGCATGACTGAAGGCTTTGCTCTAGTGATGTCCCTGGCATTCCCAGAAGCATATAAAAGGCACCCACTGAGGCAGATCCCCACCTCTTCACACCTGATGGGTTTTTATGATAGCTAACAAATCATTTAAGTCTTCTAATCCTTAATTCATCTCTAAATAAGATTAACAACTAATACTCAGGACTGGCAAACTGCAAAGTAGCCTGGAAAGCCATGTGTTGAGATGAGGGATCAATTCATCAATCAATCAACAATCCTGCCTTGTGCCAGGCCCTATGCCAAGCTCTGAGAAGACAAAGACAAAAATGAAACAGTCCCTGCCCTTGAGGAAGTTACATTCTAATGGGGGAGATAATGTGTACATATATAGAAATGAACCTACATACAACTATGATACAAACAAAGTAGGTACAAGGCAACCGTAGAGAAAAAAGCACTAGCAGTTGGGGGGACCAAGAAAGGCCCTCTGTTGAAGATGAAACTTAAGGTGAATCTTGAAGAAAACAGGGAATCCAAGAGGCAAAGGTAAAGAAGAGACCAAATATGTCAGAACAAATAGATACCTTAAGGTCTAAAATGCCCTGGGCACCAACAATCCTAGTGCTGGTGCTGGCATGTTTCTCTTCCTTTAAGGCAGTTGTGGAGTTCCAGCAAGATGGCGTAATGAGAGGTCATAAAGAGTCCAGTTCCTCTATCTACACACGCATATCCAGAAAAAAAAAGATCAAAATTTCCCCAAATAAATAAGTAAATAAAGGTGAAAGAAGAAAGGCCAAAAGCCCTTTTTTTTTTTAAAAAAAAAATGGCCTCTCAGATAAAAGAAATAAGCAAATAGCGGGGGGGGGGGGAATTCCCAGTTAACAATACTCCATATTTAAAAATCTCAAGGGCAAGTCATCAGAAGGAAAAAAAAATTCACTTCAACAGCAACCCAAGAAATGAAGCTGACCCCAACACAAGACATAACAAGTTGGACAGTAAACATTAAAAAAAAAAAACAAGGAAGGAGACTCTGGTATCAATCAGTAAAGAAAGATACAGTGTTGGTAAAGAAAGATTTGGCATCTGTAATAAGAAATCTATTCAGTAGAAATAAAACAGGAAAAATCAATAACAAAAGTCAATAACATGAAGAAAGTGGTAAAAAAATTTGAATAAAAGAATGAAATCAATGGAAGAGAAAATTCTCAGGCTATAAGGCCAATTAGAAACAGAAAATACCAAACAAGATGAAAGGACAATTCTACTGGGAAAAGGCTTAAAAAGTCTATAAGAAGAGAATATGGAACCAAGTACAAAAAATAATCCAAGAATAATGGAATTACACTAAAAATACAACAACAACAACAGAATAGAACTACCATTTTCAGGACATTTTTCAAGAAAAATTTCCAGAAATACCTTTAACATGATTGCACATGTATAACCTATATCACATGGCTTTCCTTCTTGGAGAAGGAAGAGGGAGGGAGAAAAATTTGGAACTCAAAATCTTATAAAAAATGAATGTTGAAAAGTATCTTTGCACGTAATTAGAAAAAATAAAATACTATTTACATAAAAAAAGAAAATGTTCCAGGGTTAATAAAATCAAGAGTCAGACAACAGATGAACAGAATTTACTAGTCACTGTGAGAGAAAAATCTCCAACTCACCTCATCCAGATACATTTTCATCCAATTCTAGAGCTTTTCAGCAAAGAGAACATCTTAGAAGAATATCACCTCTAGAGATAACCCAATGATAATTGCATAATAATTGAATAATTATTCATCTGTCATGAAAAAATAGAGGAAAACCTAGAACATAGTTTATAGTCAAGGAAAGTCAGACTTAACCACAGAACCTGCTTTCCAGCTAAAGTAAGAGATAAAAAATATATTTTTTCAATTTCTACATTTCTTAGTGTTTTTACAAAAAAAGAAAATCTGGGAGCAGGTAGGTGGTGCAGTGCATAGTGTGCCAGCCCTGGAGCCAGGAGGACCTGAGTTCAAATGTGACCTCAAACACATAACATTTACTAGCTGTGTGACCCTGGGCAAGTCACTTAACCCCATGGCCTAGCCCCCCAAAAAAAAATCTGGTTGGAGTCTTTGATATTTAAATCAGCACAAGAAGAAACTATAGAAATCATGTTAGTCTCAGAAATTTAATATGCAAATCAATGGTGAATACCAAGTAAATCTCTAAATCACTAAATTATTAAAAAGGATTCCATGAAAAAGCCATACAAAATTAACAAAAACAACAATGAGGATCTTGGATAGAAAAAAATATATGAATAGGGAAGAGTTTGAACCTTCTACTTTCTGAATATAAGACAAAAATACATAAGAAAAGTGAAAGAACTGAACAAATAGTGAAAAATTAGATTTGCCATATGGAGAGTTTATCAGATAATATAATTTTGCTTCAAATGTGCATGGAAGAATTATAAAAAAGAATCACAACAAAAGACAAAGAACTTATAAATAAATTCAAAAATGTTGAAATCTTAAATGATTTACAGACTATCACAGAATTAGAATAATAATCAACAAGGTAAATGTGATCAAAGGTGAGGGCCTAAATGGAAACTAAAATCATTTACATAAGAAAAAGTGAGTCAAAAGAATTAATTATAGAACCAATACAAATTTATATAAAAAATAATGACAATAGTAATACAACTTATAAGATGCATTTTAGGTCGTATTGCCTCCTTTATTTCCATCCCTCTCCATGTATGCACAGAAGGAGCACTCCACAGGGTCAGAGTTGAGGGCAATGTCTAAGGAGTAGAAAGAGTACCTGGTTGGAGGGATAAGAAGTGTCTGGACCAACCTTATAATGCTAATTCAAGGGTGGGGGCCAGAGGAGGGAGGGAGTACCTCCTCTTCCTTTTATTTTGGCTTTCATTTCCCAAACCCAAACAGCATAAAGTTTATGCAACTATAAAATTATTTCTTTAAAAAGAACTTAGAGAGGTATTTGGTTATTCATTAGGCTGAGCTAATAGAGTAAAGCTTATAATATACTAATCAAACTACCAATAGCATACTTTTTAAAATTAGACAAAACGTTATACCAAAACTTATATGGAGGGAAAAAAAGGTCAAGAATATTAGGGATAACAGTGAAAAAGAAAAAGAGGGAGGGGGCATTGTACCCCAAATTTCAGCAATTATTATCAAGACCATAAAATAATTTTAAAATTGATTAGTGGAATAGATTAGACAATATCAAATTAGAACCAGATTATGTTGGTATTCAGTTAACCTAGAATCACAACTAGGGAAAGTATTCATTATTGTATTCCCTAAGAGACAAGTAGTCAAAATGTAAGAACTCGAAGTTTTTAAGAAAAGAGAGGTTAGGAAGGAGATAAGTTAGTAGAAAGTAATAGACGGGGTAAAAAAAAGGACGCCAATAAAATTTCTGTGGACCTGTAATTTTATTGATATAAGGAGCTCCCCTGTGAAGAAACTCCCTCTACCAATGAAGGGTGGCATCTTCTCTACCCCCTTATAGTGTCAGAGAGGCTCCTGGGCTATTGAAGGGTTAAGTGGCTTTTCCAAGGTCGCATTAGCCAGAAAAGGTCAAAAGTAAGACTTGCAATGAGGTCTTGTTTCTGAGGTCAGCTCCCAATCCACTACTCCATGATGTCTACTACGTTTGTAATTTAAAAAAAAAAAAGGAAAAGAAAGAGAGGAATAAAAGAATAAAGTACTATCAGGCATCTAGGTGGTATGGTGGTGGATAGAGTGCAGGGCCTGAAATCAGGAAAAAGTCTGAGTTCAAATCCAGCTTCATATACTTCTAGCTGTGTGATCCTAGGCAAGTCACTTTACCTCTGTTGGCCTTAATTTCCTCATCTGTAAGACAGGGATAATAATAGCACCTACCTCCCAGAGTTTTTGTGAGAATCAAATGAGATAATAGTTTTAAAGCATTTAGCTCAGTGTCTGGTAAATGTAAGCGCTACATGGATGTATTAGTGGACAATCCACCTTAACTATATGAACTCTGCTTGCTCAACTTTCTATTGGCTTTCTGGTTTTGACTCCTTGATTCCAAACCCTGTCTTGGTTCACCTGTTCAGTTTCTTTGCTTCTTTTGAGAGGAAAGGATGGTGTCAGCTTATCCTGCTTCTTCTGTCTCCGTAGGCCAGATTGACTCCAGCCCTGTCAGACTCTCCAGTTCAGTGCTTTGTTCTCCTGTTTCCTTTGCCTTGCCTGTGACCATATGTTCAGCATCAGAGACCCAGCGACAACATTCCCAGCTCAGCCCAGTAGAATGCGGCTGCCCTTTCTGCAAAGTAGGTGAAGATTCAGACTCAGTAATAACATGCATAGGTGTCTGAAAGGGAGCTGATACCAATGAGGTTCAAGTAGAAGTATATTTCTAGGCTCAATAAACATATTGTTCCTAAAAAAGAAAAAAAACTTGTATATAAATTGACTTTTAAAAACTAGAACCCCATTTAAACACCATAAGGAAACTCATTCTTTAAAAGAATGGAAGAGATGAATGCTTTTCTACACATTATAAAGAATTCTTCTATAAGAGGATTAGTCACTCCTAAATTCATTGATTATGTCAATCTGGATTTTCATGTATCAGTTTCCTTAATGTGGAGGCCTACCAACCATACTAGTTATCACCTCAGCAGCTGGTGTAATTCAATCAACATAAGATGAATATTTTAAGATAGCTGTGATTCATTTGAATACGGTCAACTCTACTGATTTCCTGTAAAATAGCCAAGTCAGTCTTCTCTCACACAAAGGACTGTAATGTACTTGGCCAATATCCATATTGTTTTAATGAGTAAAGATCAAATTAATTTAGGAAAATTTTATTTATAGCCAGGCCAGTAATAGTTTGGGAGGAACAATTTTACCAGCTTTATTTCCTCTGTTTGCTGGCCAACCCACACCTTTCACAATATACGAGGCCCATGCCTCAGCCATGTTTGAGAAGAAAGTGAAGACACATAAAAAGATAACTAGGTGGTACAGTGGTTAGAGTGCTGGGCCTGAAGTCAGGAAAACTCATCTTCCTAAGTTCAAATCTGGCCTCAGACATTTACTAGCTGTGTGACCCTAGGCAAGTCACTTAACCCTGCTTTCTCACCTGTAAAATGAGTTGGAGAAGGAAATGACAAACCACTCCAGTATCTTTGCCAAGAAAACTCCAAATGGGGCCACAAAAAGTCAGACACAACTGAAATTACTCAACAACAATAAAAAGGCAGAAGCAGCAGTTAATTCTTCTGACTAAGGCTTATGCAGGAGATAAAAATACAACCAGGAGAATGTCAAAAAAAAATGTATATGACAATCAACAGCAGTGGTTTGGGCTCCTGTACCTTTGCCACTAAGTCAATAATCCACAAGGCTGGAGGCCAACCTTAGGTCAGGAAGGGAAACAAAGCTTTCTCTGAGAGAGAGCTGAGGTAAACCTCTCTGCTTCTACCAAGTAAGCACTGAACTCAATATCTTCTGAGAGTACACAGAATGGTTTCCTTTAGGTTCCCAAAGAATAAATCAACAAATAATGTGTCTCCTCTATGTAGGGCACTGGACTAAAATCAAGATAGATTTAAGATATGCCCTGTTCTCAAGGAACTTACAAGCCAATGAGGAGAGGGATAATAAAAACTAATAGCTATCATCTATAAAGCACTTTAAAGTTTACAAAACATTTTACAAATATAATTTTATTTTATCCTCACAATGAGTCTAGGAGGCAGATGCTATTTGTGTTCAGTCATTTTTCAGTTGTGTCCAACTCTTCATGACCCCATTTGGGGTTTTCTTGGCAAAGATACTGGAGTGGGTTGCCATTTCCTTCTCCAGCTCATTTTACAGGTGAGGAAACTGAGGCAAACAGGTTAATGTGACTTGACCAGTCACACAGCTAAGAAATGTCTGAAGCCAGACTTGAAGTCATTAAGAGGAGTCTTCCCCATTCCAGGCCCAGCTTTCTATCCACTATGTCACCTAGCTGCTCTCAGATGGTATTATTATCCCCAATTTTCAGATGGAGAAACGAAGGGAGACAGAAGGTAAATAACTTGCCCAGCTGTTAAATGTCTGAAGCCAAACTTGAATTGAGATTTTCCTGACACCAGGTCCAGTGCTCTGTCCACAGAGTCACCCAGGTGCTCAGTGAAGAATATGAAGGAGAGTGATGACAGCCAAAGGGAGGTCTAGGCAGAGATCACTTCCACCTGGGAGGTCAGGTCAGGTTTCATGGAGAGTGTTAACCTTGAAAAAAGAAAGGGACTTCAACAAAAAAAAAGATGGAAACTTAAAAATCAAAATGGCCCAAATAGAAATGACTCCACACGACAACAAGAAATATTAGCTCTAGAGATGACTGAAAAAGTAGAAAACGTGAAGTCAGTTTCAGGCATGACAGATGGTATGAACAAAGACAGAGATGGGAAAGGATAGAACAATTAATGAGAATGAAGTAGCCTACTATACCAAATTCAGCTCTTACATTTACTACTAATATCCATCCTTTTTGTGGAGGATGATGGCGGGATGGATGGGGCTCGAAGCTCCCATCCAGAACTTGTTTAGTCTGATATTCTCCAGGAACCCTCTCCAGGCCTCAGCTCCCTGACTTTCTTGCTCTTCTACTTGGGCCTTGGAGATCATGAACCTCTCTCCTCAAACAGGTTTGGAGAATCTCTACCACAAAGAGATCCAAGTACCATAAACCAAGGCGAGTGTTAGTATTATGGAAGACATCTTGAACAGATGGTTCAAACAAAAGAAGGAAACCCTATCTACAGTGAGGCTGTCATCATGTGCTTGTTCATAGATGATAGAGTCCCAATTGCCTTAAGTCTAGAATATCACAAGGCATTTTATAGTAGAAAGAACAAGAGATTCAAAGTCAGAGGACCTGACTTCTAATTCTGGTTTTGCCAATTACTTGTGTGACCTTAGACAAAACACTTGATTTGTAGGCCTCAGTTGATTTATCTACAGAATAATGGGTTTAGACCAGATGACTTTTGGAGTAACTTCTAGCTCTAAATCTATAATCCCATGGAAGCTTCCTCAGTGAAATCCATAATAATTTGGAAAAGATCAACACAACTATTCAAACTATGAAAACAAAGGAGGAAGAAGAGGAGGAGGTAGAGAAAGAAGAGAAGTGAGGAGGAAGAAAGAAAGAGAAGGAAGAGATGAAACAATTATATAGCGCTTATTATGTGCCAGGCACTGTGCTAAGCACTTTACAACTACTGTTTCATTTGATTCTCACAACAACCCTGGGAGCCAAGTGCTATTATGTACCCCATTTTACAGATGAGGAAACTGAGGCAAACAAGGTTTAAATTACTTGCCCAGGTTCACACAGTTATCTGAGGCTAGATTTGAACTCACGGTGATGAGTCTTCATGATTCCAAGACCAGTACTCTATTCACTGCGCCACCTAGCTGCTCCTCCTGACTTTGCTATCTACCTATAAGTCATAGAACACCATGATTTCAGAGGAATCAAAATGGTAGGTGACCCAAAAGACAATGGAAAGATGCATTATGGGTATATACAGACAATGATGTAAAAAGGAAGTGACATAAAAAAACATTATGGAGAATCTTTAGGCTGCCATGCTCTTGTTGCCTTACAGGTATGAAGGATCTTTAATCTCCTCCTAGGAGCCTTCTGGGAAGAGCAGGTGGCTCTTCTTTAACTCATCTCCAGGAAGACAGACTCACAATAGTAATAATTTTACAACAAACTACATTAGATTTACATTGGAGAAGGAGTAAAGCTAAATTCATATTGCCAAAGTGAAGTCATTGTTTCTAGAATTCTAATAATTATAAAGCCTCACTAATTTGGAATAATTTGGCGCAGAAAGCCAAACAAAATGGTGAAATATTCCACAACAGATTTTAAGGATTTGTAATTTTATTCCTTTCAAATTCACAAAACTAAGTTAACAGAGTGCTCTTTAAGAAGGGCTTTTTAGGGGCAGCTAGGTGGCACAATGGATAGAGCTTTGGCCTTGGAGTCAGGAGGACCTGAGTTCAAATCCAGCTTCAGACACTTGATGCTTACTAGCTATGTGACCCTGGGCAAGTCACTTAACCCAGCTTGCCTCACCAAAAAAAAAAAAAGGCTTTTTAAAAAATCATCCCCAGTGAATAGATAAGAATGATTTATTATAATAACAGAGAAGCACATAAATTGTTACCTTTCTAAGTATTGGAAATACTTGCTTCCAATTAGTATTGGAAATACTAATATTTAAATTATCATTAAAATACTAATTTTCTACTTAAGAAAACCCCTCTTGCAACATTCCCCTTGAAAATGTATTTATATTAATTTTCTTAGGATTTCTAAGCAAATTATTTTACTTTCATGATGCTAGATTTAATTTTAGCTCAGTCCCTCTCTAAATTATCACAAATTCAAAACAAATGGAATATGAATAATTTTTTCTTTTATCTACCTACTGCTTAAACCACCAAGCCATCATTTTCCCCAAAGCATTGTTGTCATTCTGAATAAAGGCCTAAATATGATTAATTTCTCCTATTGTCTCACAATTTTAAAAGGTTTCTCAAAAGATTAAGTTGGCTTGTGGAAACACATTATTGTGGTATTTAATGTTTCAAGAAAGTTTCTATATTAATGAAGGAATTAACTTCTAACTTTTCATTGTTTCTTTTTAATGCAATACAGAGGTTTAAGTATGAAAGTCCTTACATATATGTGTGTGTGCATATATATGTATGCATATATGTAGATAGATAGGTAGATAGATAAATAGATAGATAGATAGATGATAGATAGATAGATAGATAGATAGATAGATAGATAGATAGATAGACAGATACATGATAGATTAGATAGGTAGATAGATAGATAGATAGATAGATAGATAGATAGATAGATAGATAGATAGATAGATAGATAGATAGATACATGATAGATTAGATAGGTAGATAGATAGATAGATAGATAGATAGATAGATAGATAGATAGATAGATAGATAGATAGATACACACACAAGTAAAGATAGGAGTGACCAATCAATCAAATTATCCCACCTCATTTAAAGAAACTGAGAAAATGCCACATCTTGATTTCTTTGCCAGATGAGAACACATCTTGATTGAATCAATTAGAAGCAAACAAAGCCTGAATACCTTTCAAAAAAGCCATTTTAACCAGGCATGACAGAAAGTCTTTTCCAATTGGTTAAAGGACCTAGTCATTCCCTTTGGGATTATATAAATCCAAGAAGCTAATTTGGAATCAAGTATTTGGAGTAGCTAGGTGACATAGTAGGTAGAGCGCTGGGTCTGGAGTCAGGAAATCTCATCTTCCTGAATTCAAATCTGGCCTCAGACACTTCCTCACTCTGAGACCCTGGGCAAGTCACTTGACCCTGTCGGCCTTAGTTTCTTCATCTGTAAAATGAGCTGAAGAAGGTAATGACAAACCACTCTAGTACCTTTGCCAAGAAAACTCCAAATGGGGTCATGAATGGTCAGACGCAACTGGCAGAAAATGTATCAACAACAATTGGAGCCTCTGTCAGCAGAAAGGAGAATCATTCAACCCAAGTCCCTGAACAGGAATTGCTGAGAGTTTAGGGGGGAGGAGAAGAGCTCCTACCTCATTCTCCAGTTTCTCCTTTCCCTCCCCCAATCTTGGCTAGAAAAGGTGCATTTTAGACTTCCCATAAGCATTCTAATTGCATTTCTGGAACAGTGTCTTTATCAAGAGTCAAGGACAGATTGGACTAGATAAGGAAAGGAGATTCAAGGTTCTGCAAGGAGCCCCTCAGAAAAGCTATCTTAAGGATGCCAGTACAAAGATTTCCAGGAGCTGCAAGTTACCCCCTTTCTACACATGCTCCCTAAACTTGAGCCTACTTTCCCCTGGACTTTCAGGGGAAAGTGTATCACAGAATTTTGGAGGAGGGGGAGAAGAAGGGGTCAATATTTTGTGCCAACTACACCACCACAGTAAACACCCATTTCTAGAAGCAAATTAAGTCTGGCTGTTTGATATCAACTACTAATCATGGATTAGGAGTGGGGTGGGGAGCTAGAAGAAGCACACCAGCCAGGGTTATTGCATCAGAAAGACATCCCCCAACCCCTCCAGATTACCCCAAGAAACCAGGGCCATGATCTGCTAATGCGAATGGAGGTTGGGAGAATGAATCCAGAGCACATGCCACATACAAAATGTTAACGTTTTTGTTAACCATTATTATAATAGTAGGGGCAGCTAGGTGGTGCAGTGGGTAGAGTGCCAGGCCTAGAGTCAGGGAGGCTACGTTCCAATCCAGCCTCAGCCACTCACTAGCTGTGTGAATCTTGGGGAAGTCACTGAACCCTGATTGCCTCAGTTTCCTCATTTGTAAGGAAATGGAAACCACTCCAGTATCTCTGCCAAAATAACCCCAAAAGGGGGTCGGGAAGAGTTGGTTACAAGTGAAACAACTGAACAAGTTATATTGTACTTTTAAAACATTGTTCAACTGAAGGACAGTTAAACTACGATTAATTACAATGACCAAATGATGAAATGAATTTCTCTTCTCTTAAAGATGGAGCTACAGGTACAAAAACACTCCAAACACGGTAAGTTTTGCTATCAGTCAGTTTTGCCTAACTGTTTTTCTTTGATGTAAGAGGGGATTTGTGGTGGAGGGTGGGGCAAATTGGGGTGTGAATGAGGCATTAAAAAAAAAGATATCAATAAAACTTTAAAAAATAAATTATTTACTCCTTAGTAATCATAATATGAATTTGTTTTTACCCTGAAGGAACAGTTTATAATATTGAGTTCTTCAGTTTCTGCTACTGGGCCTTCCCTTCTATTAGTGAGAGGTCCCTATACTCTATAACTAACCTGACTGAGACCACGACCTTCTTTCTAGCCATCTTTATGCCACTTTGAGAGAGAGAGGGAGAGAGGGAGAGAGAGAGAGAGAGAGAGAGAGAGAGAGAGAGAGAGAGAGAGAGAGAGAGAGAGAGAGAGAGAGAGAGAGAGAGAGAGAGAGAGAGAGAGAGAGAGAGAGAGAGAGAGAGAAAACAGTTTCATTTGAATGATGAGGTTGGAAGGTAATTGATCTACATGACCTTTCTAGCAAAGGTAGTGTTGACTTGATTACCATTTCTAAAGCTAAAGAAGGAATATGGGAGGGATTACAGAGAAATCTCCATTTTACAGAAAAGGAAACTGAGGCAGAGGTTAAGTGACTTGTCCAGTGTTACACAGCTAATAAGTGTCTGAGGCTGAATCTGAACTCAGATTTTCTTAAATCCAGGCCCTGCACTCTATCTACCATATCCCCTAGATGCCAGGGAAATTAATAGCTTTGCTGCTTTTGAATCTAAACCAACAATATTAGGGGTTGGGGAGAGAGAGAGATAATTCTTATCTGGTACCCCTCTCTCTCAGGGGCGAGCAAAGTGGCTAGGCTTATGGCCCTTTCTCATATGCCCTTCCAGGGAGAAATCAAAATCTCCCTTGGAGAGGTGCGGGCAAGATTTCTCTGTTTTCCTGAAAGCCCCATCAAGAGGACCTATATAGGTATATAAGGACCTATATAAGTGTACATATATATATATATATATATATATATATATATATATATAAAACCCGGTGAACAGCACACACAAACCCCTTACACATTCATTCATGGAGTCGACATTTATCTCAGCTACCACCAAGGGAAAAAAATGATTCTTTAAAGTACTTATCCCACCTCTGCCCAGGAAACTAAAGTCTGAGCTATAACATGTTTTGGGGGCAAATCCCAAATCTCCATCAGTAAGAATATGTACAGTTCCAACTACATGGAGATGGCTGTTTCCTCATTGTGGCCTATGGCATGACCTGGTGTTATCATTTAGCTGTTTTTCCAGTCTTGTCCAACTCTTTGTACACATTTTGGGGGTTTTCTTGGCAAAGATACTGGAGTAGTTTGCCATTTCCTTCTCTAGCTCATTTTGCAGATGAGGAAACTGAAGCCAACAGGGTTAAGGGAGTTCCCAGCATCACACAGCTAGCAGGTTTCTGAGGCTGGATTTGAATTCAGGTCTTCCTGATTCCAGGTCCGGGGGTTCTACCCATCTCACCACTTACCTACCCTAAGCTGGCATAGCTGTAACCATAAAGGAAGGCGGAGACTAAAAGGTAGGGCCTGAGTCAGTCATAGATCATAAATAAATGAATGAAAAATGAAAAAATTATTTTAAAGCCTTTATTTTATGCCTGGCACTGTGATGAGCGCTAGGCTATAAATTACAAGCAAGCAGTTTAGTCCCTACTCTCAAGAAGCTTACATGCTAATAGAATTGGAAAGCTTAGGGCAGGGGTGGAGAGAGTGGATAGCTGGTTTGGAAGTAGCAGTAAAGTACCCTGAGGTCAAATCTGGCTTCAGACACTTACTAGCTGTGTGATTCTAGGCAAGTCATTTAACCCCATTTGCCTCAGTTTCCTCCTCTGTAAAATGAGTTGCAGAAGGAAATGGCAAACTACTCTAGTATGTTTGCCAAGAAAACCCCAAGTGGGATCATGAAGAGTTGGACATGACTGAAAACGACTGAACCACCACCCAAAACCAAGTTTCACCCCTCAGGAGCCTCAGATAACTGATTTGTTGATGGGAGCTCAGGGAAGATGGTGTATCAGCTTTATGACTCAGACTCCTATGGCATCATCTCACAAAGTAAGTTTAATTTTTAATTAAACTTAGAAAACAGAGTTTATAAAATTCTGATGTTTTATTTAGTTCTTTCTTGGCAATAGCTGAAACAAATGTTGACTTTGTGAATGAATGTATAGGGTGTCTGTACTGTTCCTCCGGTTTTTATATGTCCATGTAGGTCTTCTTAATGTGGCTTTCAGGGAAAAAGGATATTCTAGGTTCTGGGCAAGGTAAAACAAAGGCTCACCTCTCAAAACCCAAGGTCTCAGAGTCAGAGTCCAGGAGGATGGCCACAATGAAGGCAGCGCAGTTTGGAAATGATCAGAAAGTGGATCAAATTGCATGAACTCTTATTGAACTGTGTTCAGGGTTATCCCAATATTGATTCTGGAAGCCAAACACCCAGTTTACCTCTCAGCACTCACCTTTTGATTTGCTCCTAATCCTAGACTTTGCTTCTAATCTTCTTTCCTTCTCAGGCCATTCAGTCCCTTACCTCCACAGCCTTGGCTCCCAATTTCAGCTTGCTGCAAAATACACCTGATTCTTTTGACTTCCAACTGAGTAAGAACTGGCTTTGGTCTTTTGTCCTACAACACCGTACATACTCAGCCACAGTCATGATACAGCTCATCGGGGCATGGTCTAAAAGACAAAACACTAATATCCCTGAATTATAGAAATTTCATACTTATAACCTAAGCCTTTAAAGAACAAAATCTAGAATCAGAATCTGCTTTACACCTCTTCAGAAACTCCAAACCTATGCAACGTAAATCACCTCTTTAGGAGAATTAAATAGTATCTAACAACCTGGAGGGTTTAGGAGTAAATTAATATCCCAGAATGAACGACTTTTGGGAAGGGTTGGACTATGTCTTTTATCAATATTCCTTGAATGAGATCTTATTTGAGTAAATAAATATTTATTAAACTCTTGCTGTCTTGCCAGGCCCCATATTCAACATTGAGGATAGACAGAAACGAAAAGACACAAGCCCTGCCCTCAAGGAACTCACATTGTAACAGGACAGGTATATATATATTTTAATTGTACATGTAATACATGCAGTGTAAATGAAAGGCAATTTCAGAGGAAGGTCCTATTTAGGTTGGGGGTGGAGGCAAAGGGATCAGAGAGGCCTCCTGTACAAATTGGAATTGAGCCAAGTTTTAAAACTAGTTGGGGAAGCCTAGAAACAGAGGCAAGGAGGGAGAACACCGCCTGCCGGACAGACAACATAAATGCACACAGGAGAAGAGCTATTATATATGAGCAATAACAAGTAGGACAGCGGAACTAGACAGCAGAATGTATGGAGATGAGTGAAATATGAGAAGAATGGAAAGGTAGGAAAGGCTTTACAAGCTGGACAGAGGGTGTTATATTTGATCCTAGAGGTAATATGGCTCCACCAGAATTAATTGGGGGAGAGGGGTATCATAGTTTACACCAATGGTATCAAACACCTGCAATACTCCCAAGAGTAACATGAACCACATTAAAATGTAGATGGGAAATTTAAAAAAATTAGTAAATAGTATTTTGTGTTTTCCAATTACATGTTAAAGATAGTTTTCAACATTCATTTTTTATAAGATTTTGAGTTCCAATTTTTTCTTCCTCCCTCCCCTCTCTCCTCCCCAAGATGGCAAGCAATCTGATACAGGTTATACATTGTGTGATTATGTTAAACATATTTCCACATTAGTCATGTTGTGAAAGTATAAACAGAACAAAAAGGGAACACCACAAAAAAACAACACATTAAAAAATGTGAAAATAGCATGCTTCGATCTGCATTCAGACGCCATGCTTCTTTCTCCGGATGGGGATAGTATTTCCCATCATGAGTCTTTTGGAATTGTCTCAGATCGTTGTATTGCTGAAAAGAACTAAGTCTATCATAGTTGATCATTGCACAATGTTGCTGCTGCTATGTACAATGTTTTCCTGCTTCTGCTCACTTTACTCAACATCAGTTCCTGTAAGTGTTTCAAGGTTTGTTTTTGTTTTTGCTTTTTTTAATCTATTTGCTCATCATTTCTTATAGCACCATAGTATTCTATTACATTCATAAACTACAACTTGTTTAGCCATTCCCAAATTAATGGGCATCCTCTCAATTTCCAATTCTTTGCCACCACAAAAAGAGACGCTATAAATATTTTTGTACATGTGGGTTCTTTTCCCAGTTTTATGATCTCTGTGGGATACAGATCTAGAAGTGGTATTGCTGGATCAAAGGGTATGCACAGTTTTATAGCCCTTTGGGCATAGTTTCAAATTGCTTTCCAGAATGGTTGGATCATTTCACAACTCAACCTACAATAAATTAGCGTAGGGAAATATTTAACAAAGTAAATAAAAATACAATAAAACACAGATAACATTACATTTTAAAACTAAGTCAATATGAGGCCTGAAGGAATCCTTATGTACATAGTCCCCATGTCTCTTTGAGTTTGACAGCATTGGTTTTACAAAATTCTTTCTTTCTCTTTTTTTTTTTTAGACACTCTTGCCCAGGATGGAAGTACAGCGGCCCCTCATGAGCTTGATCACAATTCTAATTGGAATGGAAGCTTTAACGAACTTGTTTTTCTGAACAGGACCCATTCACCCCTCCTTAGACAGCTTACTGGCCCTCTGCTCCAGGGGTTTCCATATTGGCGAGATACAGATCATCTTTATATCTTAACTGTAGCTCAAAATTCTCAAACTCCATCAACCCATCAACCTCAGCCTCCCCAGAAGTAGGGATTCTAGGTGAGTACTACCACACTGGGTCATAGCAGGATTCTTGAAGAGCTATGATAGTCCAGTATAAGTCCTGGCTGATTCTTACTAAGATGCAAAACCTTCGATTATAGGCCTAAAAATGGGTTATGTCTTCATCTAACCTAATTAGGTTTAGAGAGGCTCGCTTCCAGAGAGCTGATCACCAGGTAAAAGGTTTTTGGTTGAGTCTCTTTTTTGGGGGGAGGGTTTGGGGGCAAACGGGGTGGGGGCAGGGCACATCTCACATACACACACACACACACACACACACACACACACACACACACACACACACACAATCTACCTAAGTACAGTAAAGGGTAATTAGGTAGCACAGTGGATAGAATATCAGCTCTGGAGTCAAGAGGACCTGAGTTCAAATCCACCCTTAGAAATTTACTAGCTATGTGATCCTGGACCAGTCACTTAACCCCATTGTTAAAAAAAAAAAAGCACGGTAGAAGAGAGAGGGTCAACAGTAGAATTTCTGCTCACATCAATTAAGAAATCTTTTAGAGGTTTCAAGTTTTTTAAAGAGTATCAACAGAAATTCATATATAAGTAGCATCTTTTAAGACTTAAGAGCAGAGGCCAAATAAACACAGACCCTCTAGGGAGACAAATAGAGCATTTAGGGTCAGATGGTTTTAGAGTTAGAAAGGTCTTTGGGCAAAAGTAATGTTTAAGGGGAGGGGGAAGGGAATGTACCCAGGAAATAATTTTACATTTAATTAGTATTATATTTTCTCTATCCATTTCTTAAGTCCAGATGACCAAGAAAACAATTAATTAAGTCCTTATTTGTTTGCTGATTTCAGAGCTGTAAATACCCTCAAAATTTAACACTGGGTTAAATTAGAGTTGCAGGCCCCTGCCTTTTGAGATAACCTAGATTTTGTCCATATAGAAATGGAGAGACCCAGCTGAGCTGAAGCACCCTAAGCAAGGTCTCACAGTTAGTTAGTTTATAATTAGGCCTGCTGACTTATGGGATCATCTCCTTTTCAAACATACTTAAATAATTACCACTGATTACATGTGTAATAAAACTAATTTCTACCGGGCTACTCCCCTCCCTGCACCCTCAGCTCTCCTCCCACGAGGGTTAGCTAAAGGCCACATTATCAAGACTTGACTGGCCTGAGGGTGGGGCAAAGCCTAAAGGGCCTCTCTTAATACAGCTTTCTGAGGGCCTCTGGCTGTGTGGATGTGGTTTCTAGATTACTTGAGAGCACAATAAATTCCCACTAGAGTGGGGTCCTGCATCCTCAGATTTAATGATTGCCTGAAGACCACAGAGTCAGCACATTCAGCCCAGAAGAACAAACAAGTTTCTGTGTGAAGATGAAAGGGATGATTGTCACATCCTGAGACAGGCCTACCCCTCACCCATGAAACAATTCAAAATCAAATCCTTAGATCTAGAGTATTTTTTTTTCTTAATAACACTAATCCTCAAGTCTTAATTTCCTATCCATTGCTTTAAAGGGAAGATTTTTCTCCCCAGGAGGCACAAGGTATATTACATGAAACAAGAGTCAACGATTAGCATTTTCTAAATGTCAGGGTATTCTGGGTTAGACAGTGAAGTGGAAAGAGTGCCCACCTTAGAGTTAGGAATATCTGAGTTCAAATTTGGTCTCAGACACTTACTAGCTGTGTGACCCTGAACAAGTCACTTCACTCTGTTTGTCTCAGTTTCCTCATCTATAAAATGAGCTGGAGAAGGAAATGGCAAACCACTCCAGTATCTTTGCCAAGAAAACCCCAAATGGGGTCATGAAGAGTCAGTCAGACTATATTTGCATGTTGTTTCCTGTATTAGATTGTAAGCTCCTTGAGGGCAGGGACTGTCTTTTGCCTCTTTTGGTATCCCCAGTGCTGAAAAATGACTGAACAACAAAATTGTCTGCTGTTGGCAAAGAGCACTATGTTTGAATCTCCAGAAGTTACACGGCAACAGTAGTTGTGTTCTTTGTCCTTTAGGGTTTTTAAATCTCATAGAATTGTGTAGTTGTTTAAAGCCAAATATGCAGTCATTTCTCATCTATAGTATGGTTCACAGTTATATGTCACAGCATCCATCATATGCTTGGTCAAAGCAGACTCAGATATTTCCCAGGAATACATATAGGCCTGATTCCCATAGCTAATGCATTAACAGTAAGTCCGAAAGCAGAGTAGCTGAGATTAGACTTTATGAATTTTGGAGACTCCACCCATGTTTTGGGAAGGAGCAAGTATTTAAGCAATATTCAGTACTGGCTTACCCCGGCCAGATTAGGCCAGCCTTTCCCAAAGTTATGGTGTAACATGTTTGATAGAGGGAAAGCAAAGGTAGGACTATGAATTATTAGAGAATCTTAACCACTATAGGTCAGGTTGTTTCCTTCCTATCTTGGTGGTGTTGTGGTCTACCTGCGCTGCTGTTATTTCCAGGTATGGCAGTCAGGAGGTTGTGTGGTATGTCAGTGTTTCCCCAGGTGTCTGGCATGAGACATGATTAGATTTTAGGTTGATCAGAAGCTAAGTCAGAGACTACATCTGAAAAGGGATCCAAATGGGTAATAACATGGCCTGACAGCCACATATCTGATCGTCTGCCACTGAATAAAATGACCTTTCACTAGAAAAGGCTGTCCAATGACAAAAGCAAATCTGAGCACCAAGGCAGTAATCGGAAGGAATTTCTGCTCTTGCCAGAAAATTTAGCATAAGCTAATAATCTGAGTAATTATGCAAACTATTATTTCAGTTGTCCAGAACACTTTGTATATGGAAATAAAATCGTATTTACCTTCATCAAACAGGCCTGAGAATTTTCCACAAAACCAGAGTAGGCAGAATTCTCAGATAGTTGACAACTTTTGCTTTTTTC